AGCTTTTTATTTTGATGAATTCTCATTTGTTTATTCTTTTTTTTATGACCCTTTCTTTAGGGGACATATCAGTGAAAATATTGCTGTGTGGAATATCGGAGATTTTTCTGCTTATGTTCTCCTCTAGGACTTTTATTGTGTTGTGATATATATTTAAGTCTTTTATCCATCTTGAGTTTATTTTTGTGTATGCTGTAAGTTGGGGGTAGAGTTTCATTTTTTTGCATGTAGCTGTCAAAATCTCCCAACACCATTTGTTGAAGAGGCTATTTTTACTCCATGTTATGTCTCTGCTCTCATTGTCAAATATTAACTGACCATAGAGACTTAGGTTAATTTCTGGGCTGTCTATTCTATTCCATTGGTCTATGTGTCTGTTTTTATGCCAGTACCAAACTATTCTGATATTTTGGCCTTGTAATATAGTTTGATGTCAGGTATTGTGATCCATCCTACTTTGTTCTTCTTTCCCAAAATTGCTGTGGCTATTTGGAGTTGTTTATGGTTCCATACAAATTTTTGAAATGTTTGTTCTGTATCTGTGAAATATGTCATTGGTTTTTTAATAGGAATTGCATTGAATCTATAAATTGCTTTGGGTAGTATGGGCATTTTGATGATGTTAATTCTTCCAATCCATGAGCATGGTACATGCTTCCATTTGTTAGCATCTTCCTTAATTTCTTTCCTCAGTGTTGTATGGTTCTCTGAGTATAGGTCTTTTACCTCCTTGGTTAGGTTTATTCCTAGGTACTTTATTTTTCTTGTTGCTGTATCAAAGGGGATTTTTTTCCTGATTTCTATTTCTGATATTTCATTGTTGGTGTACAAAAATGCCTTCAAATTCTGAATATCAATTTTGTATCACCCTGTTTTGCCAAATTCACTTACTAGGTTGAGTAATTTTATGGTGGAGTCTGTAGGATTTTCTGTGTACACTCTCATTGCATTTGCAGTTTTACATCCTCCTTTCCAATTTGGATACCTTTTATTTGTTTTTCTTGTCTTATCACTGTGACTAGGATTTCCAATACTATGTTGAATAGAAGTGGTGAAAACAGACATTCTTGTCTTGTTCCTGTTCTCAGTGGGAAAGTTTTAGTTTTTGTCCATTGGGTATAATGTTGGCTGTAGGTTTCTCATATATGGCTTGTATTATGTTGATATATGATCCCTCTACTCCCACTTTGCTGAGTGTTTTTATCATAAATGGGTGTTGTACCCTATCAAACGCTCTTACACATCTATTGACATGATAATGTGATTTTTGTCTTTCCTTTTGTTTATGATGAATTACATTTATTGATTTGAGAATATTGTGCCATCCTTCCATCTTTGGGATGAATCCCACTTGATAATGGTGTATGATCTTTTTAATGTATTGCTGGATGCGGTTTCCCAATATTCTGTGTAAGATTTCAGCATCTATGTTCATCAGCAATATTACCCTGTTCATCAGCGGTAATATCAGCAATATTACCCTGATTTTGTTTATTTGGGTCCTCTCTCTTTTTCCTGATGAGTCTGCTTAAAGGCTTGTTGATTTTGTTTTTATTTTCAAAGAACCAGCTTCTGGATTTATTGATCCTTAGAATTGTTCTTTTAGCCTCTACGTCATTTATTCTGCTCTGATTTTGGTAATTTCCTTCCTTCTACTATCTCTGGGCTGTCTTTGTTGTTGCTATTCCAGTTCTTGTAGACGTAGGGTTAGGTTGTTTGTTTGAAATGTTTCTGTCTTTTTAAGGTAGGCCTGTATGGCTATGAACTTCTCTTTCAGGACTGTCTTCCCTGTGTCACTTAAGTTTTGGTTTGTTGTGAATTCATTTTCACTTGTTTTCAGAAACTTTTTGATTTCTTCCTTGATCTCATTCTTAACCCATTCATTGTTTAATAGCATGCTATTCAATCTCCATGATTTTGAGAGTTTTTGAGTTTTTTCCCTTGAGGTTTGTTTCTAGTTTCAGTCCCTTGTGATCAGAGAAAATGCTTGATATTATTTCAATTTTCTTGAATCTGTTGAGTGTTGTTTTGTGTCCTGTCATGTGGTGTATCTTTGAAAATGTTCCATGTGAATTGGAAAAGAATGTGCATTTTGCTTGTTTGTGATGAAAGGTTCTATATATATATCAGTTAAGTCCATTTGATCTAGGACATTGTTCAATGCCACAATACCCTGGTTTATATTTTGTTTGGAAGATCTATCCATTTTTGACAGTGGGGTGTTAAAGTCCCCTAGTATTGTTAAAATCCCCTAGTATGTTGCTACCTATATCTTTCTTTTGGTTGATTTTTGTTACAGGTTTTAGTGCTCCTATTTTGGATACATATATGTTTATAATGTTTATGTTTTCTTTTTTTAAAAGATTTTATTTATTTATTTCTAAAGAGGGGAGGGAGGGGGAAAGAGAGAGAGAGAGGAACATTAACGTGTGGTTGCTGGGGGCCATGGCCTGCAACCCAGGCATATGTCCTGACTGGGAATCGAACCTGCGACACTTTGGTTTGCAGCCTGCGCTCAGTCCACTGAGCTACGCCAGCCAGGGCTTATGTTTATGTTTTCTTGATGGATTCTTCCCTTAAGTATTATGAAGTATGCTTCTGGTCTGTTTTTATGGCCTTTGTTTTGAAGTCTATTTTGTCTGATATAAGTATTGCTACCCCAGCTTTTTATTCCTATCAATTTGCGTGGAATATTTTTTCCAACCCTTCACTTTCAGTCTGTGTAGGCCTTTTTTTTTTCTCAGGTGGTTCTCTTGTAGGCAGCATATGTGCGGGTCATGTTTTCTTATCCATTCAGCTACTGTATGTCTTTTGATTGGAGCTTTTAATCCATTTCCATTGAAGGCTATTATTGATAGGTACTTATTCATTGCCATTTTACCCCTTTGGATGTGTGTTCCTCTCTCTCTCACTCTTTTTCTTCCTTTTCTTGAAGCAGTCCCTTTAGCATCTCTTGCAGAGCTGGTTTGGTGGAGGTGTATTCTTTGAGCCTTCTTATTTCTGGGAAACTCCTTATTTGGCCATCCATTTTAATTGAGAGCCTTGCTGGATAGAGCAGTCTTGGTTGCAGGCTTGTTTTTCATTACTTGGAATATTTTTTGCCATTCCTTTCTGGCTTGAAGTGTTGCCATTGAGAAGTCAGATGCTAGCCTTATCTGGGCTCCCTTGTATGTTACTTCTTGTTCTTCTTTACTGCCTTTAAGAATCTCTTCTTTGCCTTGGAATTTTGCCATTTTAATTATGTTGTGTCTTGAAGTGGGCCTCTTTGGATTCCTCTTGATTGAGACCCTCTCTGCTTCCTGGATTTGTGTGACTTTTTCTCTCATCAATTTAGGGAAGTTTTCCATTAGGTCATTTTTAAACAGGTTTTCTATCCCTTGCTCCTCCTCTTCTTCTGGTATCGCCATTACATGGATATTATTATGTTTCTTGTTTTCCTACATTTCCCTTAACCCCTCTTTGTTCATTTTGGGTCTTTTCCCTTTATCTTGCACTTTTTGGGAGTTTTTTCTACCTTGTCCTCTGGCTTGCTGATTTGATCCTCTGCTTCATCTAGCCTGTTTTTGATGCCTTCTATTGTGTTCTTCAATTCAGAAATTGTATTCTTCATTTCCTCTTGGCTCTTCTCGATAGTTTCTATGTCCTTTTTCATGCTGATATAGTTTGTAGTAAGTTCCTCATAGTTTCCCTGTAGTTTTTGGTAATTCCCAGTGAGCTCATTGAGCTTCCTTATAACACTGCTTTGAACTCAATATCTGATAGTTGACTTGCCTCTATTTCATTTAGCACTCTTTCTGTGAATTCCTCCTTTCCATTCATTTGGAGGTCGTTTCTTTGTCTTCCCATTATTTGTGAGACTCTCTCTCTTTTTTTTTTTGCTTCTGCTTCTTAAATGGATCTGTTTTTACTCTCTGAATTTGTGGTGTGAACTTGTATGATAGGTGACTTGTGAGATTCAGTAGTGCACTTTCCTTGACCCCTTGAACTTGATGCTCTTGGGATGTTCTTTATGCCTTTTATGTTGTGTCTTTGGATATAATTGGGTTTTGATTGTTGTTGGGTAATTCTTTGATGGGCCACCCCTCCAGCTGGTTGACTGAGGGTCACTATGCCCACCACTACATCTTGTATGCTGTTTTGTGATGATGCCAGAACAAAAACACACAGACCAGGAAAGAAACCCACATCCACAAAAATAATCCCTGCCCAGTAATCCCTCTATCAACAGCATGTGAACCAGTATTAATAAGTATATAAAGAGATTAAGACTATTATAAACTATAGTTTATTTTTCATGACTTAATAAAAATCTAGTGACTTAATATGCACAAACTTGATGGGCAAGAAATAAATGTTAAAAAGCTATGCAGGAAAGAAAATATTGCAAATCATGCAGAAGACCACAGTGAATTTCATCCTGGAAGCCTCTAGTATTTACCACTATTTTGTCTTTCTGGATCTGCCTCTGGTGATGTCACATGTTGACCCCATAGGTCAGGGCTTTTCTTAATCAGCACTTTTTACATTTTTTATGACAGCTCATAGTAAGACCAGTATCTTACGAGCTAACACACATACATAAAAGAAAGGGGCATGAAGGGAAGAGGGCAGAAAGGCTGGATATTTCACCCATAGGCGACCACATCTCTTTAAGTGACCTTCAGAGTCAGGAGTCAGTCAAGTATCCTCTTCTTTGAGGGTCCCTAGATATGTGTGACTGAAGCAGGTGCCCCCACGCTCCAGGCAGATGCCCCACTACTCTCTGCCCACCTCTGCAGGTCCCTGTGATAGGAACAGACTGTAGGTAGCTAGGGGAAGCAGGATCTTTGAACTTCATTCCATCCTTGAACACTCTTGTCTTCTCTCATGCTTCCCTGTGTGGTGGCTCTGCTCACTGACTAGCACGTGCCTTGGAGCATTTCTCTCTTAGCTCAGCAGAGCTGACAGCTGGGTGGGCTGGGAGGAGTGCAGCCTAAGAGATGTGTTCACTCTATTTTCAGATTGCTTCCCTGGCAAGGACATCTCCAGCCCGGGCAGCCCCAACCTGGGCATTACCTTCCAGGTCATCATCTGCCAGATCAGCCTCAACAGCATCCTCTCCAACAAGGGTGCACCTTGTTAGAGCAATACCAGTGAGGGCCACACCTATCCGGACATCTCCTGCCACATCAGGACCAGCCACCAGGGCCACTGGAGAAACCCCAGGTAAGGGGGATGCTGCAGGGAAAGCAAGAGGAGCAGTGAGAAGTCCATGGGTGGGGAAAGTCTTGGCACTGGCACTCACTGTTCCTCCTCTACTCCCTGGATAATGATGTATGGGAAGGAAGGGGAATGGCCTGGAAGGGGTGGCAGTAGGGGTCCTGAGGAGGTAGGGAAAGCTAATGGGGCAAATGGGGGAGGGGCTAAGAAACCAGACCAACAAAGCAGGTGTCACTTTGGAGGCTGCACAGTCTGGGTCAGAGTGCAGATCTCAAGGGCACAGGCTCCCTGTTAGGCTGCACATGGAAGGACCCCATTCCCATGGTCTCACCCTTCCCCACTACTGCCTTGCTCCTAGGTGTCAGCTTGCCCAAGTTCACCTGGCAGGAGGGCCAGAAGCGGCTGCCACTCATCGGATGTGTCCTCCTCCTCATTGCCCTGGTGGCATCTCTTATCATCCTCTGTGAGTTTCACGGAGGGGGCAGGGGTGGTTTTGGTCATTGCCAGTGTTCAGTGGGGTCTGGGGATGGGGCACACAGCAGGAAAACAGAAGGTGACTACTGCAAATAGTAGTAGTCTTCTACTTGAACCATGGTGCCCCTAGGTCCTGTGAAGTATGAGGTTAAGAGTGTAGGAGGTGAGAGAAACCTGGACTTGAGTCCCATCTGTGCCTCTTATTGTGCAGCTTACCTGAACAGATTAGTTCACTCAGAACTTAGCTTCTGCATTTTCAAATGAGATTAAATTCATTCATTCATTCACTCATTCATTTCATTGAGACTTCCAAGAGTTATGAGGAATAAATGAAATAATGGTAAAATGCCTGGTACAAAATCCCACTCTAAAAATGCTAATTATTAAAAAAACAAACAAACATAAAAACCCTGATCAAAAAAAGTTTCTCAGGCATTTTCTGTCAATGAGATCAGAGATTCAGGCATCCACAATTTTTTCCCCTCTCTTTGGAAAAGATCCTCAGGACATGTCCCTGGGCTCTCTGTCAGGGAGCCCACTGTAAACTTGGTTCAGTGGGAGGGAGCAAAAGGGGAACACACATACTACCTGTCCTCAGGGAGAATATGGCCTCCTGGGAGGCATAGCTGAAATGAAGGAAAGCCAAATGCATTTGAGTGGGACCATCAGGAAAGGTGACAGCTGTGTGGCCTGGGGAGACAGAGGCTCATAAAGGTCATGAGGCCAGAAGTCCTGGAAGATGGGAGAACATCTGGCACCAGGCATCTGAATGGGATGAACAGCTGCAGGAAACCTGGGGCAGGTGGGCGGGGCAGTTGGGCAGGGCAACGTGGAGAGAGAGGAGGGACCTGCTAACCATTTGGGGACCTGGGGGCCACCGTTTGCTTGTGTGCAGCATGGCCAGGTTGTAGAGAGCTGCAAATGCTGGGCTGAGGGGTAAGGATTCCATTAAAGAACCAGCACAGTATGGTGAGTGTGGGGTGGGTAACGCTATAGAAACACCTGGCAGCAGGACTGTTTGAGAAAGAGGGCTGTGCTGGAGGAGGTCGTGTACTGGTTGAGCACATAGCTTTAGTACTGCATAGAGCTGCCAAAGTGCATGGCTCTGCTGCTTACCAGCTGTGGTACCTTAGCAAGTTCATCAGTTTCCTTGAACCTCCCTTCCTCACTTGCCTGACAAAGTGGAGATGTCACTGTCATGATGCCTGCCATATGGTATCCATGTAAACCTCCTTCGAGACTCACTGCCCTGCTCTCCCTCTCTTTCCCATCCAGGCAACTGTCCAGGGAAAAGCCTGCAGTCCACTGAGAGCAGTAGGAGAAAATCTGTGGTGGGGGGTGAGATGGCATCTGAGGGCAGGCTTCCTGACTAGTTATAGCTCTTAGCATAGTTAACAACATTTCCTGAAGTCCTCTGACCTTTAGACCTACCAACACCAGGGGAGCAACTATATCAGATCACTGAGCTTGTCACATCAGGACTAGCTACATCAGGGGTCAGGACTAGAGCCCCAACTCTGACTCCTCATCCAGAGCTCTCCCCACTACACATCAATGTAATTGTGGCAGCCTCAGTGCTCAGGTTGTTGGTGGCACAGAGGATAGAGGCACATCCAAGAGATTAGGAGTGATTGATGTCTGAACCTGGAAGGAACAGTCACACAAGAGTGACCTTCACCTTGGGTGACAGAGAGAATGGTGGGGCCAGGGGGAGAAGTGGAGGGTTAGGGCCAGGAGTCAGTTTAGAGGACAGGCAGAGTGAAGAGTCAGAACTCAGGTTTCTTTGGCATCCAAGGAGAAATGTCTCCAGGCAGGAGGGATGACAATTCCTAGTCTGAAAAGAAATAGGTGTTAGACACACAGGGAGTCATGAGGCTGATTTTCACAGATGGTTTGTAAAGCTTACACATTTGGGCATTAGCCATCTAGAGTTGCTTTTTGAGTGGGAAGATATTTAAAAGCATAAAGACAAGTAATGGGAAAAAGACTGAGTATAGAAGACATCCCTAGTTTAGGGAAGAGGAAGAGGAAGAAAACTCAAACGTGGTTACTTTGGAGAAAACAGGACAGGTAGTGGTTGCCGGTGTATGACTAGATTTAGAAATTTCTCTGCAGTCACCCTGCATAGCACAGAGACAAATGGAGGCCAGAAGGGTTCTGAGAAGGGGGTCTCTAGCATACTGGAGGAGATGGTTTCTTTAGCCACTGCTCTGGCCAGTGTATAAGGCTGGGGAGCTCCCAAAGTAGTATCCACTTCCATAACTCCCTCTGTCTCACACTCTCTCCTTCTCTTTCTCTGGGTGGCTGCTCAAGTTTGCCTGGTATTGCCCTGCTTGCAGGAGCTTTCCAGAGCATTCCTGAGTAGGCTTTTTCTCCATACAGATGGGGAACGAGAGCCCCAGAGTCCAAGAGGGATTGCAGGTCGGTGTCTCAGAAACCCCAGGGCCTTGGGCTGCTCAGTGTCTGGTCTCTGGGGCCTACAGTGATGCAGCTGGCTGTCTGCTTCATCTTTTCCAGTCTACTTCTGGCGAGGCCACACAGGAATCAAGTACAAGGAGCCAGTGGAGAGCTGCTCCATGCATGCTGTGCGCTGTGATGGAGTGGTGGACTGCAAGCTGAAGAGTGACGAGCTGGGCTGTGGTAAGCAGGCTGGGCATGGGTGTGTGTGTGGACACACGCATGTGTGTACCCTGATGACTGCAAACTCAAATGGGAGGCAATGGGCAGAGAATCAATGGATCTGGGTTCTAGCCACAGAAACCTTGTGTTTAAAGTCTGACCTTGAGTACTGTGTGACTTGGGCAAATCACTTACTTTCTCTGAGCTTCAGTCTATGTGCTCCTCCTCTCTGCCTAGCATGTGACCTCTGACTTCCACCCTTACAATTTCATGAAGGTCAGTTTGTAAGTGGCTGGCCTAGATGAGCACAGAGATGTCATTGAGTTCTAGTTCTCAGTGGCTTTCACACATGTTGTTTATACATAGCCCTGATGTGTTGGTGGGTGCATGTCCCATCCATTCTACCTGTGCATTTATATTTGTCCTGGCTCATTACTGCAACCATCTGTGACTGAAACTGTCTAATGAGCACTCAGTCAGATCATAGACCTTATTCCTTTAGTCAGTCTCTCATTTCAGCATGTCACTACCCTCTCGGAGCAACAGCTGGCAGTGTCTGCCTCTTCTCCTAAGAATGGTCCCCTGGGCCCTGTTGGATGGAGAGCTCTCTGGCCTGCTCTAGCCCCTTGCCTTGGCTCTGCCCTTACTGCATGTCTTGGGCTTCTAAGCACTGACTGATGATCACCTCAGGGGCCAAGATCCTGGGTATTTTTCCCAGGCCTCAGCAAAGAGCCTCAGGACAGGAGCCTCTCAGAGCCTTACTCAATTCATTCCCCCCAAACTTGAGCTTCCTGGGTGCTGAGGACCCACTTTACCCTTTTCTTGCCCTGCAGTGAGGTTTGACTGGGACAAGTCTCTGCTTAAAGTCTACTCTGGGTCATCCCATCAGTGGATTCCTATCTGCAGTGACAACTGGAACAATTCTTACTCTGTGAAGACCTGCCAACAGCTGGGTTTTGAGAGGTAAGACTTCCCCCAGTGTTCTGGCTTCAGGGGTGTTTCTGATTCTTTGCAAAGTGTCTCAGGCTCATTGCAGAAAACTCATATTAAAAAGATTCATGGGTGTTTCATGTTTCTTAGAATATAATCCTGGCAGTGGAATTGCTGGGTCAAAAGGCAGATCCATTTTTAATTTTCTAAGAAAATTCCATACTGTTTTCCATAGTGGTTGTACCAGCCTGCAATCCCACCAACAGTGCACTAGGGTCCCCTATTCTCCACAACCTCTCCAACACTTGTTGTTTGTTGCTCTGTTTATGATGGCCATTCTGACTGGTGTGAAGTGGTATCTCATTGTGGTTTTAATTTGCATAACTTACAATAGCCAAGTGTTGGAAGCAACCTAGGTGCCCATCAGTAAATGAATGGATCAAAAAACTATGGTACATTTGCACAATGGAATTCTATGCAGCAGAAAGAAAGAAGGAGCTCCTACTCTTTGTGACAGCATGGATGGGACAGGAAAGCATTATGCTAAGTGAAATAAGCCAGGTCATGAAAGACAAATACCATATGATCTCACCTTTAACAGGAACCTAAACAATGAAACAAAGAAACAAGCAAAATATAACCAAAGACACTGAAACAGAGAACAGGCTGACAGTGACCAGAGGGGAGAGGGGAGGGAATTTCAGGGGAAAAGGGGAAGGGTTTACAGGAACAAGTATAAAGGACACATGGACAAAAAGTAGTGGGGGGGGTGGAAATGGGAAGGAGGTGGGGAAGGCTGCAGGGGGTGGGCTAGGATGGGAGTAAAAGACAGAAAACTGTACTTGAACAACAATTAAAAAGAACAAAAGATTCATGGGGACAAGAGTTAAGGTCACTGGCTCAGGACACCTTTGAGTTACCTAAAGTGACGGTGGTCCTGGGATGGGATCTAAAAGTCTGAGGCAAGCTATTTCTGTGAGGCCAAAGTAATTTTGTAGATCTGCAATAGGACCACACTCCCAAATGGTTCTCTGTATCAAAGCACATTTGTGCCCTTTATTACATTTAATGGTCATGGTAGCCCTTTGAAGTGGATAGGCATTTGGGCAGGTCTTGTTTTCTCACTTTTGGGAACTAGGAGCTCAGGCTATGCAAACCCTTCAGTGGACTTTGAACTGCAGCAGTTGTGGCTTGAGCTAAAACTCATCAAATGAAAACAAAGTAGGCAGGTGTGGCCAGATAAACTCCTAAGAATCTTTGGCTTTAAAGATTTTAAACAAAGAAGCTGATACTGGTAGGTAGAGGAAGGACAGGTAAACAATGACTTTCTGGCTCAAAGGAGTCCCAATTTGCAGGCCACACAGTCATCTCCATTCTCCCTCTTGATCTGTGTTTTCAAGCCAAATAGTTTTGAAGTTCATCAATGTGTGTGAGGTTGTAGGGAGAAGGTTTAGGTTTAGGATCTTACTGTGGGCTCTCTGTAGAACAGGGGTGTCAAACTCATTTTCACTGGAGGCTACATCAGCCTTGTGGTGGCTTTCAAAGGGCCAAGTGTAATTTCAGGACTGTATAAATGTAACTAACTACTCCTTAACAGTTAAGCAAGAGCTCAGCGCTGCCGCCTGGTAGAAACAAGGTGCCGGGATGTATAAAACAAGGTGGAGGGCTGGATTCAGCCCCTGGGCCTTGTGTTTGCCACCTGTGCTGTAGAAGAAGCTCCTAGCAAACCATTTTGGGGGTCTAGGACTTAGAACTAGTTCTCTGTCCCCACCTCAGTCTCAGAGTTCCCACCTGTGAGAGGGGAATCTGGATGGTTTAGTCTGAAGAGCATGGACATTTCAAATAATTAATTATGTGACATTATGCAAGTCTGAACCTCCCTTGGGCTTCAGTAGATAGTGTCATTTATTCAAAGAACATTCATTGAGCTTTTAATATGTGGCACCAGACACAAAGGAACAAGACTAGATCCTGTTCTTCGGGAACCTCCAGTATGGTATGGGCAAGAGAGGCTTAAACCAATGATTGCAGCACAATGTCATGTGTAATGACAGAATATGGGTGAAGCTCTATGCACACAATGGAGAGTTTGCTGACTGCACTTGGAGGACAGCAGAGAATTGAGGAGCTCCTAGGCAGAAGGACTGTGTACAAGGGAGTGATCTCATGCAAGAATGTACCATGTTCTAGAAATGCACACAAGTGCCATGTGCATAGCAGTCCACGGGTCATTCACATCACAATGAGCTGGGGTTTGTTAAAATTTATCCAAATTCAAAATCTCTGGGATTATGACTTAGAACCTGCTTAGCAAACACCCTGAGGTGGTTCTTATCATTGTGGTCTGAGATCCAGCAAGTGGGCAAAAGGTTCTCAAATTTTAAAGTGCAAACCTCATGTTAATGAGGATCTTTAAGATACAGACTCTGGTTCAACAGGTCCAGGGTGGTGCTGCTGGTCCACGGATAACAGTTTGGTTAGAAAAAGGCTAGATCAGTGTTTCTCAAACTTGAGTGTGTATCTGCATCACCTGGAGAGGCTGTTAAAACACAGAATCAGACTTCCTGATACAATTGGTCTGAGGTATGGCCCAAGAATTTGCATTTTTGACAAATTCCCAGGAGATGCTAATGCTGCCCTAACTGGGCTAACACAGAGAGCTAGTGGAGGGCAGGGCAGGGGTGTGGCACAGTGGGGGTTATGTGGGTGGGGCCAGACCTTATGGGGCCTTGACAGTCTCTGGACCCTGTAAGCAAGGCTGGTGGGACTTTGATGCCAGCTGGGGTCTGGGGGTGGGCTCTGTCTCTTGGGGAGCTCATTTTCCCCCACACCCACTGCCGCTCCTGTCTTCCCTTGCAGTGCTTACCGGACTACTGAGGTGGCCTACAGGGCTATCGGCAGCAGTTTCTCAATCTCTGAGTACAACTCCACCATCCAGGAAAGCCTCTACAGGTGTGGCAGGGCAGGCCAGGCTGCCTGTCTGTGAGTAGGGGAATAAGGGGGTCAGGGGATTTTGAAGTCAGGGAGCCCCTCTCCCTTGGCCTTTCTGGGACCCAGCCTCCAGGAGTCCATCATAAATATCCGGAGCATCTTAGAAACAGAACTCACTCACCACCTGCCTCCTGACTTCTTATTGAGGCTTGCTGCAGTAAACACCTTGGGGTTACAGGTGTTCCCAAGAGCTTACCTGGTACCAGGGACAATTAATACGATTTGAAGACATTAGGTCAGCTAGGTGTTTAGAGTGAGCACTGCTGTAAGGAGTGGGCTCTGGGTGGGGAGGAGGAGCAGTAGCAGGGAAGGGTCAGGTGCCTCTGGTCAGGGGCAGGTGGCCCATCTGGGAGACACCAGCCTCCTTCTGAGCCTCCTCACCATGTGTCATCTTTGCGCCAGAGCCCTGAGCTTGTCTCAACACCACTGAGGGGGAAGTTAGTGGGGGGCGGCTCCACAAGCTAACAGCATTTACCTTGGGATACAAGAGAGGAAACAAGGCTCCAAGAAAAGAAGGGATGGGAGGTAAGGGAAGTGAAACAGCTGCATCTTGGACATCTGCTTCGTGGCAGGTGATTTGCATGCAACATTGCTGGAGAGCACCAAGGAACTCTGATGGAGTGTTAGGCTGCCTGTTTAGTTGTGGAAAGATGCTGGGACAACAGTCATGAGTTCAAAGGATGTAAATCTAGACAATGTGTGTAATCTGCCGCTAGAAAGTGAGGGGTTCAGAGAGGAGTGGAGACGGTTTGCACCAAGCTGTTTCTATTCATATAGAAAAAGCACTGGAAGGGTCAGTACCCACTAGGAGGGAGAAGGTCAGAATCTCCATTTTCTTGTGCAAAAGAAATGGGGTAGGAACTGAGCAGGATTCAGTGAGGAAAGGCTTCTTAGAGGAGGTGGCTATATACCCTCTCTCACCTTCTGCCTTTTCTCCTGCAGGTCTGAGTGCCCTTCCCAGCATTATGTCTCTCTTCAGTGTTCCCGTAAGAAGATGCTTTTGCTCCTGAATTGTGGCCTGTGGGGGTGGGAGTCAGGGGCAGAGGGGTGGGACCTCTCTGAGAGAGATGGCTGGCCCTGGGACTCCACCAGGAAGAGGGATTTAGCCAGCAGGCCTGCTTCAGGGCCAGGATTCCTGGAAGGCACTGGGGCAGTTTGAGCATAGCATTTTCCTTTCTCCTGACTCCTTAGCCCAGCTACTTCACTCATGGCAAAGAAGCTTTTCAAATCTTCTGGATTCTGGGCAGGGGGCAGAGGACTGAGAGAGCAGGTCTGGGCCCACTTAAAGCTCCCATATCAATAAACAAAGAACTAGATCTAGAGTCAACATTTACCAGGCATATTCTCTGTGTATGACACTGTGCCTGTTGTGTTTAATTCTCACAAGGCAGGAACTGTTATTGTCCACTAATTGAAAAGAGACAAATGTTTACTTTGCTTAAGGTCAGACTTCTGGTAGGTGAGGAGCTGGCATCTGACCGATGGTCTGACCTCTAATTCTAAATTGTTAATTGGTCCACAAGTGTGCTGTGTTCTCAGTAATGGCCATGAGGGTGCTCCTCTGAGCAGACCAAGAACATGGTGCTATGGATGGAGTGCCCACGCACTAGGCCACCTCTAGTTCCTCACTCTTTTCCCCCTTCAAAGAGAAAAGAACATATATCTGAACAAACTCCAAGGGCTGCCCTCCTTGCCTATGATTTTAGGGGGATAACTCACTCCAGAAAATGTTTGCAAATGTTCCCTGGGATGAATGGTCTCCAACAGTACTAAATAACCCATTGGAGAACCATGTGGGTATAAACCCACCTGTGCATCATTGAAAGTTTATTTCTCCTTTGATTTTTTGTTTTGTTTTGTTGGAAATAATAGAGATCCCCATCACAGTGCCTATGAATTCAGGGTCATGGTAGAGTTGATCTGCTTTCCTGAGCTCCTGACAATAGTCCCAAGATTTACCATCGTAACTATAATGCCTGGCACAGTATCAGGCACTTACTTAGTAAGAATTTGTTGAATTTTTGAAAGAATGAATGAGTAAGAAGAAAGAAGAACCTGCCTAAGATCAAACTTCCCACTGGATGACACCAGAAAGCTAGCCACTATGTGGGACCTCTGCTTTGGAGGAAACAGTTGTGCCATATCAGATTAAGCGAGTAAAGTGGTGTCCATGGGTGGGTGGGTGCCCTCAATGCCCGAGCCTGCCCTGGGCCCAGGGAACATGGCAGGGCTCTGAGAAAAGCAGAGCTCATGGTTCATCTTTTCTGCTTCTTCCCCTAGACTGTGGACTCAGGGCCATGACTGGGCGGATCGTGGGAGGGGCACTGGCCCCAGAGAGCAAATGGCCTTGGCAAGTTAGTCTGCACTATGGCACCACCCACATTTGTGGGGGCACACTGATTGACACCCAGTGGGTGCTCACTGCTGCCCACTGCTTCTTTGTGTAAGTACCTGAGGGGGCACGTGATGTGATGCTGTGGGGGTTCTAGATCACCAGGAGGGGCTGATGGCAGACTGGCTTCTTTCTCCATGAAGGAGAGCTTGGTGTGAGGCTACCCCTCTGCAGTGGGCCAGGTGGCCTTGGCCATGATTTGTAGTAGGTACTTGGTTCTGGGAGTGTAAGTTGGTGGTACTTGATCTGAAATAGGCCCAGAATGAGAAAAAGCTTTTGTTTGATGGTCCCTAAGGAGAGGGAAGCAGGCAGGAGAAAGGACTTGGGAGCCTGCCCCTGAAGAATGGGCTGAAATAAAGAGTCATTGGGTTTTTTGCTGCTGGTTCCTGTACCTGGAATTTATAGTAGAGGAACCCATGAAAATCAGGACCACTGTCCCAAAAACTGAGGGATGGGGATTTGGGGGAGGGGTTGCAGTGCAGGTAGTTTCTGAGTCACTAGCCAGGCTTGTCCCTTTGAGCTGGTGGGCAGGAAAGGGCTCTAGAAAACAGGTCTCAGGGGCTTGCCCAGGAAGGAGTCTTCAGTGGGTGACTGTCTTGTCTAAAGCTCTGTTTCTGCTGAGGATAATAATACTGAGATGTGTACTGCCCACCTTATTTGATTTTTGGTGGTGTACAGAGGAAGCCATGGGGTGACTGCTCAGAGAAATCCTACTCATCTCCTTCCCCTTTCTATTGTAAGGTGCAGAACAGCCAGTTTAGAATGGCTTTTTGAAGGCAGGGGATTGTTCTGGACCCCTGAGTTAAGATGGAGGGCTCCCTCAGAAGGTCATTTCATTCATCCCCCTGCCTCTGAATTGGTGCTCAGAGGGCAGCTCCCTGTGTGTAGCATATGCTGCCAGTGGGCTCTTTCAGGCAGGTAACAGTATCATGCTCTCCTGTGGCTCTTGCAGAACCAGGGAAAAGATCCTGGAGGGCTGGAAAGTGTACGTGGGCACCAACAACCTGCACCAGCTGCCTGAGGCAGCCTCCATCTCCCAGATCATCATCAATGGCAACTACACTGATGAGCAGGATGACTACGACATTGCCCTTGTGCACCTCTCCAAGCCCCTAACCATGTCTGGTGAGTGAACCAATTCCTGTCACACCCCATTCTGGAGTATCTTGTCAGCCCATCTTGGGGTCCCAGAGCTTCAGTATGGTGGCAATCAGACTCAGAAATCACTTCATAGACTATCTCTATTTTACAGTCAGGGAAACTGAAGCCCAAAGATTGGAAATATTTTAAAAGTTTGCCCCAAACTTATTAAGTGACACAATTTACATTTCAAGTTGGCGACAGAGCCAGGGCTTGGAAATAATACAAACAATATAAATATATCACATTTTTTCACCGGTGTTCATTGAGCACTTAACAGGAGCCAGACACTGTGGTAGGCATATTACATCTATGATTTCATTTACTCTTCACAAGCAATCCTGTGGAACAAGTACTATTATTAGCTTCAGCTTATATAAGAGGAGATGGAGCTTTAGAGAGAGTATTACCGGAGGCCACAGAGTAGTAAGTGGTAACTCCAGGTTGGTACAATTTCCAAACGGGGCTCCTCCCACTCAGCTCTTGGCTGGCAAGTTGCTATCACTGTAGTTGAGAACACAAGATGAGCCATATTCAAACAACCAATTGCCATGAGGTTGGAGATAAGGACCAAATGAGGCTGCACAGAGGAAACGCTACCAAAGTTCTCAGGAGGAGACCAAAGAAGGCTTCATTCATTAATTCATTCACTCATTTGTTCACTTATCAAATATCAAGGATCTAATTTTTAGTGAACTCTGGATTTCTGATTGCAAGTACAACATAGTGGGTGACACACACAAGGACAGCCAGTGGAGGCCAATAATGAAATGTTGAGGGGAGCTGGGGGAACCCTGGTGGCTCTGATGGGATCAAGTAATCAGTCTTGGAGGATAGAGAGTCTTTCCTGGCACAGGAAATTGGAAGGCTTTCTGGTTAGTCCAGCCTTTTTATGCCTACCAGCTGGTCTTTCCTGCCACCTTAATTATGGAAGCAGCAGTGTCAGTGAGTCAGAGTAGTTAGTTAGCTCTTCAGATTGGTGTGAGGAGGAGGAAACCTTGGCAGAGCTTAGTTGGCCAGGGCTGTCCCAGAACTACACGCACCTGAGCCATGCCCACTAATGAGCAAGACCTCTGCCCTCTTCCCGCTCCCTCAAGCCTTGTCTGTGGAGCTTGGGACTATAAAGTACGGGGTGCCCCCCTGCTCCTGGCCTGCCTCTCATGCACACATGAAAGGGAGCAGTTAGTCTGTAGGACCAGAACAGACCCTTCCAACTTTTTAAAACCATCTCCACATTCTGATAAGCCCCTGGGCAGGAATCACAGCTCAGATTTATGTAGTCCTGTGGTCAGACCATGTGACCTGACTTTTGGTTTAGAAATCAGGGCAAATTTTCTTATACTCATATGGCAGGCCAAGCACTTTGAAGACACAGAACTATCTGATAAAACTTGTAAAAACTCACTGGTAAATTTATTTTCCCCATAACATAGTGAAATATATAACAGTTACATATTTTTAAGACTCTGTCACAAAAATAGGCATAAAATATGCCTATTTTTTGCATTTTTGCAAAAAGTCATGTTTTGCATTTTTGTTAATTGATACTGTCCTTTCATTTATTTTTTTTGTTTACGCTCTAGCAGACAAGTACATTAGTACTAATAGTTAAAGCCCAAATTATAGGAGAATTTAACATTTATTCTCCCTCCCTCCTTTTCTCTCCCTCTTGTTTTAAGTATATTTTATTGATTATGCTATTACAGTTATCCCAATTTTCCCCCTCTTCCTCCTCCACCTGGTACCCCCCCTTCCCTCCAGCAATCCCCCTTCTTAGTTCATGTCCATGGGTCATGCATATAATTTCTTCAACTACTCCATTTCCTATACTGTTCTTAACATCCCCCTGCTATTCTGTACCTACCAATTATGCTTCTTAATCCCTGAACCTTTTCTCCCATTCTCCCTCTGCCAGCTGATTACCTTCCAAATGGTCTCCAAATCTGATTCTGTTCCTGTTCTGATCATTTGTTTAGTTTGTTATTTTAGATTCAGTTGTTGATAGTTGTGAATTTGTTGCCATTTTAATGTTCATAGTTTTGATCTCCTTTTTCTTAAATAAGTCCCTTTAACCTTTCATGTAACAATGGCTTAGTGATGATGGATTCCTTTAGCTTTACCTTGTCTGGGAAGCAATTTATCTGCCCTTCCGTTCTAAATGAGAGCTTTGCTGGGTAGAATAATCTTGAATGTAGGTCCTTGCTTTTCATCACTTTGAATACTTCTTGCCAGTCCCTTCTTGCCTGCAAATTTTCTTTTGAGAAATCAGCCCATAGTCTTCTGGGAACTCCTTTGTAGGTAACTGTTTCCTTTTCTCTTGCTGCTTTTAAGATTCTCTTTTTACCTTTAACCTTTGGCATTTTAATTATGATGTGTTTTGCTATGGTCCTCTTTGGGTCCAATTTGTTTGGGACTCTCTGTGCTTCCTGGATTTGTATGTCTATTTCCTTCACCAGATTAGGGAAGTTTTCTTATATTATTTTTTCAAATAAGGTTTCTGTTTCTTGCTATTCCTTTTCTTTTTCTGGCATCCCTATAATCCAGATGTTGGCACTTTTGGAGATGTTCCAGAGTCTTCTTATACTCTCCTTGTTTTTTTAATTCTTGTTTCTTCCTTCTGTTCTGATTGAATGTTTACTTCTTCCTTATGTTCCAAATCATTAATTTGAATCCTGGCTTCCTCCCCTTTAGTGTTTGTTCCCTGTACATTTTTCTTTATTTCACTTAGTGTAGCCTTCATTTCTTCCTTTATGTTTTCACCATACTTAGTGATTTCTCTGAGTGGACTGATCACCAGTATTTAAACTCTGCATCTGATAGGTTGACTATCTCTTTTTCATTTAGTTATTTTTCTGGGGTTTTGTTCTGTTCTTTCATTTGGGCCATATTTCTTTGTCTCCCCAATTTGGCAGCCTCCCTTGTTTGTTTCTGTATATTAGGTAGAGCTGCTTTCACTCCCTGTCTAAGAGCATCTGTTAAGTTGTATGGGGTGGAGCCTTAGGTAATCACCAGGGCAGGGTAATACACTTCACTGCTTTGTGGTGCTGTGTAGGGTGGAAAGGGGTTGGAGAGGGGATAATAATGCTGCCTGGCTTCTGGAGGTTTTCCCAGCACTTGCCCCACTTCTAGTCACTTCACCCAGTCCCAATCTACAGCTGGCACTCTTCCAGAAGTTTTCCTAGTGTTGAATCCCAGAATAGATGGGTTTGCATATATTTTAAGACTATGCAGTCCCTTTAAATGGACTCTCCTGAGTACCCGGCACTTTCTTCCATTGCCACAACCCCTACTGGTTTTTCCAGCCAGAAGTTATGAGGCTTTCTCTTCCCAGAGCTAAGAACTTGGGTTGCACAGTCTGGCCTGGGGCTGGGATCATTTGTTCCCAAGGTATCCCTTCTGATTTTTATCTACCCCACATGGAAGTGAGACAACCTGTTCTGCTGCTGCCTCTTTGTGTCACACTTTGTCTTCTTCATCCAAGCTCCCTGTCTCTGCCCATCCTACTTAAATGGATGAATATGGCTTCTTTAAATCCTTGGTTGTTGGACTTCCATATAGTTCCATTCTCTGGCAGTTCTGGGTGTTTTTTGTTTTGAGGTTAGTTGTGATCCTTCTTGTGGTTGTACAAGGAAGCAAAGCCTGTATACCTATGGCTCCATCTTTACCAGAAGTCTCTTTCTCTTTCAAAGTTTCTTGAGTACTTTGTAGTGTAGGTGCAGAAAGCTGCAATGAGCAAAACAAACAATTGAGAACACAACAAACATTTCATCTATCAATTAACATTTTCTTTTTACAAATGAGCTTTGGTGGGCAATGCCCTAGTCCATCTAGGAACACCAGTCTTCAGAGAGCTTATTAAGTGACGCACAATGGCATCAGTACCTTCTAACTATCTCTGATCATGGGAGCAAGTGAGCAGTGATTCTTTTGTGTGACTCAAGGGATACATCCGTCCTGTTGGGAGAGATTATCTTGACCCAGAGGGAGAACTTCAGGCCTTGGCCAGCCAGCAGGGCCCTCCCCAGACCAGGCTGAACACTCCACTGAGACACCATGGCCATAATACCTGGGTTTAGTCTGATGGACAGGTAGGGGAGAGGTGCAGCCAGGAGAGCCACTCTCAGTGGGGAAAGACCCTCAGCCACCCAGTATTGATTTGGTACAGGGGAGCTTCTGAGCCATATGCATCTGCCCACATGGTACCCTCTGAAATCAGAATGTTTGGGGGAACTCTGGTAGCATCATGAAGGCTAGAAGGTCAAGATAAAGTGATTAATCAGTCTGAGGCCCTGGAAGATTCAGAACTACTCTGAGGACAAGGAGGGTTCTTTTAGGACATTGGTGCTCCTATCCCTCCACTACCCTCACAAAAACCTCCATCCTTGTGTGTTCCTATGTCTTGGGGTCTTTTTGCAGCTCACATCCACCCTGCCTGCCTCCCCATGCATGGACAGACCTTCAGCCTCAATGAGACCTGCTGGATCACAGGCTTTGGCAAGACCAAGGAGACAGATGGTAAGAGTCAGAGATGCTTGACTGTGTATGTGTGCCTGTATACATGTATATCCGTGTAGAGTGTGTGGGGGTGATGTGTCAAGGTAGATAGATAAGGGCCTAACTAATGAAGGTTCAGGTATATAACTTTATGGGCCTGGTTGTGAGTATGTATATATATATATACCTGCATATATGTCAAAGCAGTTATTGTGACAATGCCCACCAGCCAAGATCACCAGGAAAACCTCTATAGTTAAACAACTTGGGTTCATTGCTTACTGCAATGAGGGAGAACACATGCCATGGAGAATCATGGCACATTTCAATAAGAGGTGTTAGAAAAAACTCAGCACAGGACTTGGGTGGTTGGAGGGGGTCCAAAGAAGAGGAACATTGCTTTAGATTAGATGCTTTTAGGGAGCAAGATAATTCTATGATTGAGTCTCTAAATAATCTCATCTAGAATTTGTGAATAGGCTGGGTCTAAGCTGATGTTGGTGAAGAAGCAGCAAAGCAGCAACCACCCCTGTTCGCTGGGAGGGGTGTTTGGTATTGTTGTGGGTTGCACAGTGACCTGCCTTACTTTTGTCTATGCTTAACTAGATAATGAAGTGAATTTGTTTTGCTTCAGTTCATTATGGTCATGGAGTCACCTTGTCTGATATCGGCTCTGTAGGATTATTTATACGTGGCAAGAGAGTGCCATTGCCTGTCTGGCCCACTGTGAGACTCAGGCCAAATTCCCTTGCTCTGTGCGATGAAGTGCTGATTGGCCAGGGAGTAGCTTCTGATCTTGGCTTCATAACAAATTCATTGTGTGACTATGGGCAAGTTACTTCTGCAGCCCTGAACTTCTCCATCTGTAAATGGATTAATTATACCCCCTTATGACACATAGTTACTAAAAACAAATGAAGTAACATGTGGGACCATGCTTGGAATGCAGAAAAGCATTGTGCAACATGCAAGGTAGCCTAATAGGCTGTAAATTTGTCCATGTCCATGTATGTCTTAGTTATACGTAGTGAGCTGTAGTGAACTGTGTCTGGTGTGAGAGTATGTGTGCCCATATATTCTGGGGGGCCAACCACAGAAACAGTGCCTTCCGTTCAGAGGAGGCTGTGAGTCTAGGTCCTGAGATGAGTGGCTAGAAGACCATGAAGCTGACCAGAGTCTTTATCCTTTTCCATCCTCTCTGTCCTTTCCGCATCTCACTGCAGAGAAGACATCCCCCTTCCTCCGGGAGGTGCAGGTCAGCCTCATAGACTTTAGGAAGTGCAACGACTACTTGGTCTATGACAGTTACCTTACCCCAAGGATGATGTGTGCCGGGGACCTTCGGGGAGGCAGAGACTCCTGCCAGGTGAGGCTACTTTTGGGTAGGGCTTAGGTTCCAGGACCCCAGGGACGTGAGAGAAGGCTGAGCTATTGGGGTCAGAGTGGGAATAAGGTGTACAATTTTTCCTGCTCAAGGACCCCTTCTCCCATCCTGCTGATGTGCGTGCTCTCCCCTGTAGGGAGACAGTGGAGGGCCCCTGGTCTGTGAGCAGAACAACCGCTGGTACCTGGCAGGAGTCACCAGCTGGGGAACAGGCTGCGGCCAGAGAAACAAACCTGGTGTGTACACTAAAGTGACAGAACTCCTCCCCTGGATATACAGCAAGATGGAGGTGAGAGTCTGTGTGGGGCACTGACTGAGCACATGAGGAACTTCCAAAGGAGACGTGCCTGGAAGAGGACCCAGGCTTTCCCCCAGGGTCTTAGCAGGGGTTTCCTCACAGCCTTCAGTTATAGGGTGTTCACAAAGTGCAGAAGACCAGGACAGGACAAGAATCAAATATCAGGCCAACCGTAGCTTCCTGTGTTCCTTTCCTTCCTCTTCCTTTGGCATAATAGACGTCAGAGGGTTGCAAAGAGGTGGGCCAAGTGTTGCTGGTCCCAGTATCACTCCTGTCCTGGTGATGGCTGAGTTGTGAGTTCACACAAGCCACTGACAGTAGGAAGCCTCTCCTTTGTAGGAAGTGGTCCCATGTGGAAGTGGGAGTCAGGAAATGGAGATTCATGCCCCCTCTGCTGACCTATTTCAGCCCCTCTCTTCCCTGAGCCTGCTGTCTAAGCTGTAAAGCAGAAATGCTATGTCCTTTCCTTCTTTGCTGGGCCAAGGGCACAACAGTGGAAAGCTCAGATATGGACAGGCAAAGGCTGCCAAGTCTCTCAGAATCTGCTTCCATCATTCTCTTTGCTTCCCCTGTTCTCTGAGGGGCAGTGCCAGGTAACAGGTGGATTGAATTTTAGGCTCTGAGTCCTCATCTTTATGTCTGGTTTCTGGGCCATCTGGCTCACCCTTATCATGTTCTCCCTGTTCTCTTCCTCAGAGTGAGAGGCGCCTCCAGAAATCTTAAGTGGCTGTCCTGCTCTACCTCACAGCACTGGCTGCTATAGACTCTGGCCAAAATGACTGGGCCATCTGCAACATTATCTGGGCTAAAAGCTACCAGACACCTTCATTACTGCCTCTTCCACTGTCTGCTGCCTCTGAATATGCAATGTGCATGTGCGTGTGTGCATATGTGTGTGCATATGATTGCTCTCCCAAGGTCTTCAGAAACCAGAATCACTGTCAGCTCTTTTCAAGCCCCAGGCTGGAAATAATCACCTGGAGACAACAGTTTGGAGACAACAGCATGGAGACACCTACAGGTGTGTTCATAATGGATGGAGGAGATAGAGCCCAAGGAAGAGCCTGGAAGGTCACATCAAGAATTCTTGCTTCTCTGACCTCAACTTGGAGACTAGCCCAGAATGGGCAGCCACTCAGCAGTCCTGGTGACATCAGTGTTGTCCAGGGACAGCAGCAGCTTTTGCTGGAGTGCCTGGACTGTCCCTAGTGGGAAGATATCTCTGTTGACATTACCAGCATCCTGTTTTCTCCGACCTCGCACCAGTGCTGTGTATGTGGAGAGGTGGCTGCACTGTGGCTGGCCATGCTGACAGCTGTGAACAGGGCTCATTGTTCCTGTTTGGTCACAGGCTGTTGGGGGTATGTTTTATTTCATTTTATTTTATTTTTATATTTAAGAAACAGAAGTAGATGTATTCTTAAAGATTCTTCAAAAATTCCTGGAGCCAGGAGAGCTAACATCAGTCACCTCAAGAACTCCGAGGGACAAATGGGAGCTGTGCCACTCTCGAGTCCTGTGGAATGTTCTTGGCCTCAAGGGACTGAAGTGGCTCCTTTGAGATACTCAGGGAAGTCAATCCTCATTTGAGCTAGTGTGCAAATCAAGGACAGAGAGAACCATAGCTGTTGCTGTATTCAAGGGCTATAACTGGACATGAAGAAATGCTTCTCCTTGTGTCCCTCAGAGGTTGGGAAAATCCAGGTGGACCATCATTCCTTATTCACAGTACTGCCTTGGGACTTTGGAAATTCTTTTCAGCTTTCTCTGCCTTTCAATTTCTCAGTTGTTTCAGAAACATAGCACCAACATTAAAATTACTATGGAGAGAAAGCTGACACTGTCCTCAGGCCCTGCAAACAGTCCTTCTGAAGGATTCCAGTTGCCCTGCTCCTGCAGACCATCAGTGTGCCTGGCCTCCAGCTGAAGGCCAGGACCTTCCCTAGCCTTGGTGCCCAGTCCCATTCTCCTCACCTTGCGTGGGCCTATCTGGTGGTGCTATGACCCTCAGAGGCAGGGTCCAAGCAGATCAGCCCAGCCCAGCCTAGGCAAGGTAGGCTGTCCCTTGGGGGAAAGATTGACCTGGAAAAGTAGGCTGGAATTGCCTAGTGGCTGGACAGAGTCCAAGGGGCTGGTTACATGTCATGAAGGCTGGGGAGTTCAGGAATTGACTTCCACAGCAGCCCCCAGCAATGGTCTTCAGCAATAAAAGTTGTGTGACCTAAATTTTTTTAAAACTTTTTATTTATGATTTTAGAGAAAGGGAAGGGGAGAGAGAGAGATTTGTTTTTCTGCTTATTTGTTTTTCCACAAAAATCATTGGTTGATTCTTATATGTGCCCTGACCAGGGACTGAACCTATAACCTTGGTGTATTGGGATGACACTCCAACCAAATGAGCTACTGACCAGGGCAAAATTTTGTCATTGGATGTTCTATTGGTACCCTACATAGAAAATCAAGACTGCCCACCCAAGTATCCAGACATGCTCAATTTGAGTTCTGAGTTTTGTTTTTTTCCACTTTAGGTTCTGCTCACTTAATCATACATTCATTTATGTATTCATTCACCAGCCATATCAGTGCCTAGTCTGTACCAAGAACTCCTGCAAGCCCCAGGGGATACAAAGACCAAGGTGTGTCCTCAGCTATTCATGGTTGTGACCCAGTGTGATAGAAGCTGTGATTGAGTTTGGGCACCATACTTGGAACATGGATAAATAAGCTACCAGTTGTACCTAAAGAGATCAGGGAAGGCTTCACAGAGGAGGTGGGCTTCACAGAGGAGGTGATGTTTGAAATGAGTCATAGAGAGTAGGCAAACAGACAAAGCAGATGGGGATAGCGGAAGATCACTCTAATGTCTGTGCTTTTTCCTTTTTCCCTCCTTCCTCTTTCTCTACTTCCGACTTTGCTAGCTCAGCAAGAGGCATGTTTATGAGGAAGCCTCAATACTTACTCAACTATTTCCAAGAGAATTGAATGGATGGTCCCATTGGCTTCTTTTGAAAGATGCATTCTTTTGAAAGATGCATTCTTTCTTGCTCTGCACTTACTTTTCCTGCATTTAATATATCTATCTCAATCATTATGATCCCATGATGTGTGCCCATCTCCCCCAGTGCCCCCACTACACACACTCAAGCCTCTAGCCATTAGTGCAAAATTCTCCAGGGTGGACTCCATGGGTCTGGCCTTTGGACACCTCAAATTTGTTTGCTTTAGTCTCTCATGGCAATGCTAGGACAAGTCCTTCCTCCAATTCTTATTTTGCTCCATCTGAGGGGGCAGATGCCAGGCTCACTTGGTTACCAGTAGGTATAACACAACTGTTATAATGGATCCCACAATTTCCCACAATCTCAGTTGCTTAACCCAATCAACATTTATTTTCCATCCACCTAACCATCCAATGAGGGTGTCTGATCACTGGACAGCTTTCTTCTACCTAGTAACTTTATCTTTTGGCCAGTGGAAAGAGGAAAGAGAAATTGAAGAAAGCACATATCCACTTCTTAAATGCTCTGGCCCAGACATAATACACATCGTTTTTACTCATGTTTTAGGGGTGTCAACATGTCATATAGCACTACCAGGGTATCCAACATTTTTGTGTCTCTGCACCACGCTGGAAGAAGAAGAGTTGTCTTGGGCCACACATTAAATACACTGTGACATGTAATCACACACAAAAAAATCTCGATGTTTTAAATATATTTACAATTTTTTGTTGGGCTGCACTCAGGCATCCTGAGTTGCATGTGGCCTGTGTGCCACAGGTTGCATACCCCTGAAAGTGAGACTGGCAAATTCAGTCCTTGGCCATTTTCCATGCATGAGTGAGCATTCATTTTGGAAGACAACCAGATATCCCTGACCATCAGAGGAAGTTGGCCATCCCAGAAGGTAGGCCTTGGGGGTGAGAACTAAGGCTTAGGCCATTTCCATTCCTTTCTCCTTAGAAACCAGACCCTTTCCCTCCTCTCTCAGGTTTTGTGGGGCATAGATGGATTTGCAGAGGTGCAAAGATGTATGTTTGGGAGGACAGGTAATGTAGTGAAAAAGCAATATTTGAATAAGAAGAGAAAAACACATTCCTTAGGCCCAGGAAATCTATAAAGACTACAAAAATCATGGAAGGTGGGTGATTCGACTTCCCAAGTTGGTCCAGAATCTCCAGGGACATTGTGTGTGTGTGTGTGTGTGTGTGTGTGTGTTGGTGGAGGGAGGTATTACTAATAATGCCACCCTATGGTCCCTGGATCCCAGGTACCAGTCAAACTCTCTGGCTTTGTCAACCCTGTTGACTGCTGAATTTCCCTGGGGAGGGACAGGAGGGCAACTGAGCATGTTGGGGTGGGGCAGATGATGATTTTTTGGAGAAAGAGCCAGTTATAGCCTAGCTGCCCATCCAGCTGCTTCTGGAGTTTGGTTAGATCTCCAAGGCCATAATTGTTTGCCATCATTGTTCAGCTGATGTCCTGATGCAATTGGGAGAACATTGGGAGATGCACAAGGGGAGCTCCTTATAATCATAATGAAGAGTATAATGATGATAATAGCTAGCATTTACTGAATGGTTGCTATGTGCCAGATGTTGTGCTAAACACCTGATGTGTATTATTTTCTGTAAGTATGAAGTAGGCATTGTTGTTGCTATTTTATGGATGAAGAAACAAGGACCAAGGGAAATGAAATAAGCTTCCTCAAAACTATACAACTATACTAAGTGCTAACTTTGGACTGTGAATCCAGGCTATCTGATTTTAAAAGCTGCTTTTCAAATTCAGGTGGAATCCACCTATCTGTGATCTCATAGGATCTGCCACCTGGGTCTGTGGATCTTTCTTTTCTCCACTAGGCTTCTGATGTAGGAGGGGCACTACCGGATAGGTCAACTCCCCAGAGAAGGCTGGGCATATCCCTCAGAGGGTCATATGACCATAGGCTTAGACCAAGCAGTTTCCAGAAGCTGGGACAAGTATATCATGGGTGGGAGGAGACCCCCTAGCACCTCCTTCACCCTTGTCCCAAGTGGATGGTTTCTGGCAGGCTCTCCCATGCCATGACTAGCTGTTACCCCAGGACACCTCTATGTCTCAGTGATGTGTGTGGGTAGCTCTGAGAGGCACATGCCACTCATTCCCTACCTCCTCTGCACTGGCCCAGGCTTCCTATTCCTTGGAAATCTGCCACCTAGCCCAGACATCAAGCTCCATGCTGTCTTACAATGGACCTACACAGACAGAATGGAGGACCATGCTCTGGAGACAAGCAGCCCAGACTGTCCAGACAGGAAACTTTATGAGTCCTCAGAGAAGGGGAGGGCACAGCCTAGTCTTTGGTCCTCCACAGCTTATCTCCTGCCTGCAGGACAGACTGAAATAACAGGATGCCTACTTTGTCAAGCCCTGAGTCTCAGAAGTTCTTCACTTTTCATATACAAAGAGGATGCTGGGAAACTTCTTTGAATAATTCCCTCTAATTATACCATGTTGTAGTGGAGAGAGTGGTAGAATTGGAATTATAAGTACCTGGAACTACACATTCCAGTTCTGCCACTTACATAGTTCTGCAATCTTGTACAAACCAACCTCTGTTTCTTCGTGTGTAAAATGGGTGTATTGGTCTCCCATGTTGTTGCAGGATTAAGTGGGATGATACAGGTAAATACACCACACAAAGTTATTGGCATATTATGACCTCTCAATAAATGTTGAATTTGCAGCAAGAGGGCCAGACCCTTTACCTCCATATTCCTGTACTGAACGAATGAGATAACGAGAGGAAAATTGGATAAATGTCAGGTCTTAGGACATTTGCCATTTCTCTGCATAAACTTTCCTCTTACTCTTATTATAGTAATGGGCTGATCTTCCATGGAGGTGGCATGGGCAGATGGATGCCCCCTGTTAGTGGTTTCATTAGTTTCACTGAGTTGAGCTCACTCTACTCTCTCTTGTCATTGATGGGACCAGAATGGCTACCAGGCTCTGCCCCCACTTTGGTGGTATCTGACTGCATAGCCACTGGAGCTGACATTCAGGACTGTAAGGATCACACATTCTCACCCCTCATGTACTCCTCAGTCCACAGCCATGTCACTCCTGCCCCATCACATTAGTGAACCATCATGTTGCCAAGTCTGGTGTATACTTTTTTAGTCCTCATCTTACTGGAACTTTCAGTAGCATTTAACTGTTGAGTACTCACTGCTTTGTGAAATTGCCCTGGCTTCTTTGGTATCAAGTTCCCCTTCTTGTCTTCTGGCTTATCTTTCTGTCTCCTATAAGCTCTGTACATGGTGTTCCCTGGGAGACTACCCTCAGTTCTATTCTCATGGTAAATGCTCACCTGGGTTATCTCATCCATTCCTGGGGTTTCCAGCTAACATCTGTGAAGCCAGCAGGAATTTTCTCCATGTCACTAAGGTAGAAGAAATGTCACCTTTCTTTTAAAAAGCAGATTAAAACCTGAAGAACGGCAGCAGCCTGGCTAGAAAACATCTGTCATAATGTTCTTCCCCAGGGTGTGCAGCCTTGGGAGAGCCTGCCCACTGTTGTCCAGGCTGGGTGAGCAGCCTCTGAGGATTTTTACAGACAAAGGGAGTAGCTCATAAACCTACTGTTCTCAGAGTCCCTAGTCTCAGGAATCTACTCTCCTGGGGTCAGGCCCAGTCTTCTCTTCTCTCTTCAACCCCCAAAGCCCTTCTTCTTGCAAATAGTTCAGGCCTGTCTCTCTTATGAACACTGCACAAAGGCCTATAAATTCTCTTTTGGGTCAAAGCCATTCCTTCCTGATGAGATCATGATAGAAAGCAAGATGAGCATAGATCTCAAACATTGTGTACAGATTTTCATGTACCAATTACCAAATTTTTCATTCCTCTAGAATAAATTACTACAGGTGGAATTGTTGGTCAGATGGTAATTGTATGTTTAACTTTATAAGGAACTACTGGCAGGCTGTTTTCAGAGGGATGTAATATACCATGTTGTATTTCCCACCAGCAATGTAAGAGTTCCAGTTGCTCCACATCCTCACCACATCCTCATCCTCACCTGCCAGTTATTTTTATTGTAGCCATTCTAATAGATAAGTAATGGTATTTCATTGTGGTTGTAATGTGCATTTCTCTCATGAGTCTTTTTTTTTTTTTACCCTAATGAGGACTTGCTAGAGAGAGGAGAGGGGAGGGAGAGAGAGAGGGGAAGAGAAACATTGAT